GTTGAATACCAAGCCATTCAATGTAATTCCTTCTGTCGAGCACTGTTAACTATCTACAGACCACCCAAATACTCTGCACAATTTTGTGATGATTTGTCTGAACTATTGTCGATTATTTGCATAGATTTTGACTGTATACTCATGGTTGGTGACTTCAACATTCATGTTGAAAACCCAAAGGACAGTAGAACTATCGAACTTAAAAATATTCTGGACAGCTATGGACTAACCCAGCATGTGAAAGGGCCCACTCACAAATTGGGCCACACTCTTGACCTTGTTATAACCAAAGATCTCAATATTTCTAACCTCATGGTCACTGATGTTGGCCTCTCGGATCACTCCTGCATCTTTTTCAAAATGAATATCAGCCTTTCTACTAAAGGGAAAAAACACAGATTCTCACAAAACGACACATAACTGAAGACACAAACAAGTTGTTTATTGAGGCTTTCTCCTCCACTATCAGACTTCCATCCAACAGTGTTGATGATATGGTGGATCATTTCAGATCAAAAACTACATGTCTGATTGATGCTCTTGCCCCTGCTAAAGCAAAACCCACCTCTGGCAATAAAGCGCCATAGAGAAATGCCACGCTAGTGAGGCTGCAAAAATGACATTGTAGCAAAGCGGAATGCAGGTGGCGCAAGTCACATCTTCTCATTCATTTTGAGATATTTAAGGACAGTTTTCATAGTTATAATCTCGAACTACGGAACGCAAGACGCTCCTTTCTCTCTGATATAATCAGTAAAAACAGCAATAACACACATGCGTTATTTTCAACTGTTGACCGGCTATCAAACCCCCGCATATCAATTGCCCCTGAAATCCTCTATAATGAGTCATGCAACACATTTGCATAATTTTTTACAACCAAAATTGAAAATATAAGATTAACGGTGAGTCCCTCCATTTCGGGAAAGGGGTCTATGACAACCATTCATCCTTTTAAAATACACTTAATCCGCAAGACACAGTTTGATCCCATCAGTCATAATGCCCTTGAAGACATAGTGTTGCATTTAAGTTCTTCCTCCTGCTGCTTAGATAGTATTCCCACAAGCTTCCTGAAAAATGTTTTGAACTGCATGGCATCAGAGCTACTAGAGATAGTCAACACCTCCCTCAGCTCAGGACAGTTCCCAAGAGCACAAAAAACAGCAGTAATCAAGCCTCCTTTAAAAAAAAAAACTACCTAGACAACTCAATCATGCAGAATTATAGGCCAATTTCAAACCTACCCTTCTTGGGTACAATTATAGAAAAAGCTGTTTTCCATCAGCTCAACTCTTTTTTGGCACAAAATAACTGCTTTGATGCTCTCCAGTCTGGGTTCAGAGCCCATCACAGCACTGACACCGCACTTATGAGGGTCTTAAATGACATATCTTTAAACACAGACAAGGGCCAAATCTCAATTTTGGTACTGCTGGACCTCAGTGCCGCCTTTGATACAGTGGACCACAAAATATTACTGGACAGACTAGAAAACTGTGTTGGTTTATTTGGCAAAGCACTTAATTGGTTCAAATCGTATCTGCAGGACAGGGACTTCTTTGTGTCTGTTGGTTCTTTTAAATCGCAACCAACAGCAATGACTTGTGGAGTTCCCCAAGGGTCGATTCCTGGTCCAATTCTATTTAACATATACATGCTTCCACTAGCCCAGATCCTAAAAGTAAACAAAATGTCGTACCACAATTATGCGGATGACACTCATACCCCATTCCCACCAACGCGGTTCCAGGGCCGGTTCGGAGCTGGAGCTTGAAAAGCACCGGTTTTTTCTGTTCACACCACAGCGGAGCCACCGCTAAGCTCCGGAATCCGGTTAGTTTCAAGCACCAAAAAGTTGTCGGTCTAGAAAGCAAGCACTGCATACGTCACGCTTACATCGGAGGCGGGGGCAGGGGCGAGATCAACCTCTAACAACAACAAAAAGTCTAACCCCGTGTAATGTTGTTTTTTATAGGCAATCATTTAAGCGTTGTTATTTCCAGGTTTAATAAGTTCATTTCAATACGTTTTGCAATACATATTGAAACAGTCCGGCCCTCGACTAGTACCGATTTTTTTATTTTGGCCCACTGTGTAACTGTGTAAGAACTTTTGAATGTAGCATGTAACAACTGTAAAGTTGGTAGTAAAGTCGTCCCATTTCTTCCATTTCGTTTTGACAGAGCAAAACGACTAGCGCTTCAATACAATCGGCCATTGTTGTTGTTGTTGATGTGAGGGGTTTCCGCGTGGTTTGGCTTTATGAAGCAGGCACGCAAACGGTTACGTCATGACGCAAACGATGACGCAATGACGCAGCACCAGTCGGGCTCTGAGCAGTGTGAACAGAGCGGGAGCTGAACCGAAGAACCGGTTCCGAACCAGAAAAGCTCTAGCACGGAGCTAGAACGGGAAAAGCCTTGGTGTGAAAGGGGTATCAGTTATACATTATAATAAAGCCGGGCGATTACGGACCTCTACATTCACTCACCAACTGCATGGAACAAATCAATAGCTGGATGAGCAACAATTTCCTACAATTAAACAAAAACAGAGACAATTATCTTTGGTGCCAAAAGGGAGGAACGGGCTGAAGTAAGCGTTAAACTAGAAGCACTACTGCTAAATACATCAGAAAAGGCGAGAAATCTAGGCGTAGTTCTGGACCCCCACCTCAATTTCAAATCACACCATCAACACAATTACTAAATCAGCATACTATCACCTGAAAAACATTGCCAGACTTAGAACATTAATGTCTCAGCAAGACCTTGAAAAACGAGTTCACGCATTTGTTTTCAGCAGGCTTGATTACTGTAATAGTGTATTTACAGGTCTCTAAAAAATCGCTTAAAAAACTTCAACTAATCCAGAACGCCGCTGCCAGAGTCCTGACCAAAACAAAAAGAGTAGAACACATCACCCCAATACTCAGATCTCTGCACTGGCTACCAGTAACTTACAGAATCGATTAAAAATGATATTGCTAACTTATAAAGCATTAACTAATTCGGGACCCCAATGTATGTCCGACAAGCTGCTCTGTTACGAGCCTCCCAGAGCTCTGAGATCATCGGTGGCAGGTTTACTCATTGTTCCCCGGCTCAGAACCAAACACGCCGAAGCTGCTTTTAGTTTTTATGCTCCCCACAAATGGAACAAACTTCCAGAAAACCTGAGGTCTTCACCAACGCTGAGTTATTTTAAGTCGAGGCTAAAAACACTACTTTTTACAGCTGCTTACCCAGAAGCCTTTCAACTTGTTTTAGCACCTACCATATTTACAGTGTCGTTTTTTAAACTATTTTGCATCTCATTTATACATTATTTTTATGAATCTGTTAATCCATTATGTTTATGTATTGTGTTCCTTTCTGTTGTCTTACTATTATGTGTTAATGATTATGTAAAGCACTTTGAATTGCATCATGCGTCTGAAATGTGCTTTATAAATAAACGTACCTTACCTGACCTTCTAGCAGCTCTGCAGTCACACTGCAGAATAAGGGAAAACAAGCCTCCCACATAGCCTACTAGTGTTGCACGGTGTACCAATACTTGAAAGGTACCGCGATACCCTACCGTTAAAAACGGTACGTTTCCTCCGTTTCATTAGTATCGGTACTTTAAGAATGACGGGGAAAAGTACTCCGGTGAGAAAGCGCCGTTTTAATAAGAGCCGTGTGTGTTCAGTGCTCTGCTTCCACTCCCTGCACTGCAGCCGTGCCTGCAGTCCCGCCCCTCTCAAGCACGCTCTAAGTGCCTCCCCTCTCTCGTGCACGCGGCCACGCTCTAGCTGCCAGAGCATGTGAGAAAACGAGAAGCATGGCTGCAAGTGGGAGTGCAGCTGCCGCTGCGCCTCGGCTTGTTGACAACAAAGACGTCAGAAGCGAAATGTGGAAGTATTTGAGCTATATCTCTGACAGTGAGGGCAAGCCTACGGACACCACGAGGCCTGTCTGTGAGACATGTTTTAGATCCCTGCAAACCAAGGGAGCCAACACATCAGACTTGGCTAAGCACCCGCCGACCGGAATCCAGAGCTGAATTTAAAGACAGACAGGTTAGCGAATGTGATAGATAACATAATTACATCATGCTCAAGCCCATGCCCTCAGATCTAAGTCAAACAAGTGTAATTTATTTTGTGACAAACGAACGTTTTCGTAGTTTGACGAGGCAATTCATGGCAATGATAACTGTCTAATATGGCTATCTTTTTAGCTAACTTACCAATGTGGCTAACATCTGCAATGTACATTTAGTCAATAATTATTTATATTACTGTACATGTTAATAAAATATTAAAAAAATTATCTTTTATAAAACAGTTGTTTGAGATAATGCTTAATTTGATTTAATACGAATTATTGTCATTTATTTTGTTTATTGTTCTCATTGTTTAAAAGTTTGTGTTATGTTCTGGTGTGAAATAAAGACTGTTTCCCTTTTTTTTGGAAAAGTATCGAAAAATAATCGGAATCGCAATTCTTGACTTGGTATCGGTATCGAAACCAAAATGTTGGTATCGTGACAACACTATAACCTACCACAGTTTGCCTATAATATGTGATTGCGTATTTAAGTTATTCACCTTTTGGTTATGGACCAATCTTGGTGCTCCACCCCTTTTTGGCCAGTTGTGTATCTGACCTAACAAAAAGGCCACCTTAAGAGCTAAGATGAGATATAACATGACTCACTCTGTGCTCCATGAGTCAGTGGAGATGCTGTCAGTACTGATGAGCTGTGAGGGAGATGAAGGAGTTGTTAAACATCTGATCAATGTTAAAGTTCCACATTGACATTAAAACCCTGTTGAACTGATCAGATTATTAAACCTGGAGTTATTTCAAACAGGAACTTTGTTTTCTCATGTTTTCTTTATTCAGACTGAGGTACTGCAGGTTGTCAGAGATCAGCTGTTCTGCTCTGGCCTCAGCTCTGAAGTCCAACATCCATCTGAGAGATCTGGACCTGAGTTACAACAAGCTGCAGGATTCAGGAGTGGAGCTGCTGAGAGATCTTCTGGAGAGTCCAGACTGCAGACTGGAGACCCTCAGGTCAGTAAGGGGTCTCTGCTGGTTCAGCAGTATTGTATGAAACTCAGGGAGGTGTTTCTCTCACTGGGAAACAGATCAGTGATGTTACCCACTGACTGCAGGCTCTTCCATTCTTCCATCAACCATAGAAGGCCAGCTGGAAATGCAAAGCCACACTTTAGTAATCAGCTCTCTAACAGACAGATGGGGTTTTACAGAAGAGCGGGAAAGGTAGTGTGTTTTTTATGGGATGTATTTAGTTTCTAATGACTGGTTACTTCCTGTGATGCAGCAGAGAGCTGAGGCAGTCAGTCGTAGTGTTTGCAGAGAAGATATGATGGGATGGAAAGCATGAGATCAGGACTCTGAAGCTGACTCAAAGAACAAACACTTATTTTAAACTGGATCTAAAACTGTTGGATTGTGTTCATCCCTACAGGATCGATAATGAGACGATCAGAGCCACGATCCAGAAGACCTGTGAGTACTGAAACCATGTCCTCCATTCATCAAGATCCAGAAGACCTGTGAGTACTGAAACCACGTCCTCCATTCATCAACTCTTTAATGGAGCATGAGCTCAGAGGAAAACAACACTCTGGTTTCTCTCTCTTCATCATTCTGGCTGTTTCTCTCCATGTTTTATCATCATCATTATTCTCTCTCTCTCTCTCCCTCTCCTCTCAGGTGACAGGAAGTGAAGACACACAGAAAGGTGAGAGGTCGCACCGTGTGAACTGTATTTATTGAGGTGTCACTACAGAATCAAATGTAGTTATTGCTCAGTGTTTTCTGGGATTCAAGACAAATCTGCAGCTCAGGTTTGATTTGTTCAGTTTATTTATTACGGGGCGAGTTTGAGACGTAGAGGAGCGTGGAGGCATTTTGGAAAATTTGAAAGAAGGCTGCAGCTGAGACTTCCTGTTGGCTGTCCTCAATATGAAAGGAACAACAACAATCAATTGTACTTACAGCTTTTCTTAAGAACAAAGATGTGTCACCATAACTCTGCAAACGCTTCATCAGATTTAGGATCCAGTTTTTTGCCAATTACATTTCTCACATTGAAGGAATTCTCTTTGGTGTGTTGTCACAAAGAGAAGAAACCTGAAAATACATTTTAAATGAAGAAATATATGTAATTATATATCAGTTCATCTGCTGTGATCAATGTCTCACGCTCTGCTGTGATTGGCTGGTACTGCAGTCACATGTTAACTCGTTAATAATCCTTTGGAAATGGACAACGAACTCAGAGGTTCCCAGTGATCTGAATATTTAGCTTTGGTCTTTGGATGTTCTGTTATTGTAGTTTGTGTTCGTTGAGCTGGAGTTGAACTTTATTAACTCTGTTTCATAACTCCAGGCTCCAGTGTTCTTCTCACCTGAACACACACCTGGATCTTCATACAGCTGATCCTCTAACATGACCAAACACTACTTTAATAATATCTTTATATAACCATCCTTCTTTAATGTCATGCCATGTTTGCACACGTCTGCACAGCCCTCCAATTTAAAATACAACTCTCTGTAGTTTTACATATATTATCATATTTACATAAGTGTTGTAGCTTTTAAGGTTTTTTTTTTTTTTTTTAAATGGTAAATAGTTTCTTGAAAATACTTATTTTTATTATCTTTATATATGTAACCTTCCATTGCAACTTATGTTGTTTATGTTGGCACCACCAGACACTAAATCTACTTCCTTGTGTGTGTAAACGGACCTGGAAATAAAGGTGGTTCTGATGAGGGACTGCATTCAGAAGAACCTCTGCTCTACAGTAAACTAACCTAGGATGGTGTCAGCCTAACATAAACATGACTGCGTTCAGATAACAGGTTCAACCAGCAGGGATTCTGAACCAGAGGCCTTTAAATACTCAGGTAGAGTACAAGTACATCAGCATGGTACTTTAGTACAGTACATGAGTATATATACTTAGTTCCTTCACACCACTGTCTGTATATACAGTACAGAGAGGTGAGAGCAGATCAGAGAGTATTGATCCAGTGAGAACAAATACTCTCCTCTATCAGTTGAAGAAGGTCGTCTACAATCTACTGTTGGTTTTATAACCAAAGTATTTCCCTGTTTCTCTTCCAGGTCCCAGAGGGTTACCCGTTGACCCGTGTCCATCTCAAAATGGTCCGCAGGCATCCCATAATCCTGCGTTTGGATGGAGACGTTCTCCGTGTAGTCAGAGCACTGGGTTTTCTTGGAGATGCTCTCAAAGTCTTTGAGGACAAAGTCAGAAAAAGCCAAGAAGAAGAAATGTGTTGAGCTCTTCTTCGTGTTCATCACCCCGGGTTCATTTAACCTGTTAAGCCCCAAACCTGTTTTTCAGGCCTCAGGCTCGAAAATGACATTCCCAGAACAAATGACGATATCTTTAAATTAATAATCTTTTTTCTCAAAGCAATGATAAACCTGTGAGTTGGATGTGGAAAAGTCAGAATCAATATAGATGTTTTAAAGTAAATTCAGATTGAACTTATTAAAAACATGTAAATTATTGTGTCCGTCCAAAAGAAAAACATTACTTATAGTGAAAACCACCCTTGAATGATGGGATAGTAGACTAAAAGCTTTAGGAATCCAAACTATAACATATAACAAGTACCCTGTATCAAGATTGATGCAAAACAAGTTAAATTTGACCTTTTTAGAGAGGTTTAGAAAAAACAAAACACTTCTGGGGTCATTTGGGCGCATTTTCCATATATCTGGCCCCCCTCGGTCGATTTTGATGATTGACACCTTTTTTTAACCGATAGAGCCAATAGAATCGAGGGGAAGTTCCTCAAATCCATCTAAACATTACCATTGGTGAATGAGTGATGCACAGCCAGAATGCCCAAAACCGGAAGCTCTCATACACTCTCGTAGCTCTCTTAGCAGCTATATATGATAACTACTCTTATTGACAAAATGTTATGATGGATTATCAGTAATCATTTCAAAGTGACACAGAGACATTGGATTAACCTTCAGCAGTTTATATGCATTTTAATGCCATTGAACACAACTTTTGATCAGAAAACAGCAACGGTAAGACGTTTTTGCCGTTTTGGCCACGTAAAGCTAAATTGTGTGTTGTCTGGTTTCGCCTTCGCTGCCGCTCAGTGATGATACTTATACCTTTGGAATATGTGGAATCTCAGCTTTCATATGGTATCTAGTTTGTGCAAATCCGATGAAGTATAACATATTTCTACCCTGAGTTATGTGCTAAGTGCGTTAGCACTCTTTCACTTAGTGCTCGGCGTTAGACTTGTGTTTTGTCTCGGTAAAAATGGTCCATATCGTCAGGTAGCTGAGTTTCTTTCCGTTAAGTAGGTATGACACATTCATAGTTTGTTAAAGGTTAAGAAGCACTTTTTGATGACTTTTATACATCAATATAGGGCTGTGCAATTAATCGTATTTTAATCGCGATTACGATTATGGCTTGCGACGATTAGGAAAACAGCATAATTGACAAAATACGATTATTTTGCTGGGTGCGCTTTCGCCCCTCCCTGAAAGCCCACTCGGCCACGTGGGAGTGACATGTGTTGTGAGTGTTCAGCGCAAGCGAAGATGTCAGAACAAGAGCAGCAACTAGTTAAAAAGAAGGGTCGCGGGGAGATTCCCAGTCGATCGCGAGATGTGTCTAAAAATAGAACAACAATATTCTGTTTTATCGTTAATGTCCTGTAACATAATGTTCCCATGCCAGAATAATGCACTTGAACGCATCAAAGCTTTGTGATTGGCCGGCCTCACCCCATGTGTCCGGGCGTGGCTGGTGAGCAGTGCACTAGTTCGCTGACATTGTCCGTGTCAACAGCATGGATGGTCAACAGGAGTGACAGTCCGCACACACACAAGACCGCAATTATGGCAGAAGCAAAAAAGCCCAAAATATATAATTTTCACTCCAAGTGGGAGGATGATTATTTTTGTATCTATTCCAATTCAAAGTCCATCTGTCTCATCTGCAATGCGAGCGTGGCTTTATCGAAGAAGGGTAATTTAGGAGCGGCATTTCAAAACAGTGTACAAACGCTACGAGACGGAATTCCCTCCTAATTCTGCCCTACGCTCCAAAAGGGGAGGGGCCTGAGAGCACAGCTAAATGCACAGCAGTCCATTTTCACCAGGCCCAACAACAAGAGCAAGGCTGCTACCATAGCATCTTATCGTGTCAGTCACGTTCTAGCGAAACACATGAAGTCTTTCAAAGACGGCAAAGTTGTGAAAGAAGCTTTCCTGGAGGCTGCGACACGCTTTTGTGGGACAGTAAAAATAACAGCAGCATTTCAACAGGTTTTTGATATAATAAAAACTCAATTTAGATACCGTTATTAATCTGCTGTAAGTTTTAGTTTGTTTGAATTTATTCATGATAATTATTGTACAAAATGGTATAAGAATGCAAACATTAAGATCTGTTCTGTTTAAATTGATTATAGTCTATCAGTTCAGAAACTAGTGTTGCTTGCATCCTATTTTAAAAGGCATTTATTTTTATACTCTAATAAAATGCAACAAAAAATGAGTTTGATTCTATTAATGTTGTCTTTTTTATTGCACTGTTGCTGCAGCAGATTCCTGTGTAGCTTCAGATCTGAGTTGTTTTATTAGTAAGCCTAATTTATACTTTTGTAGCAACACTATTTTTATATAATGGCAAAGAAAGGGTTCTTCAGAGTCTTTTCTTTTTTTCCTGTGTCATATGTGGCAGCACTGCCACAAGTTCCTCTTCAGAGAGGGTCTTCAGTACAGGTGGCAATATCGTCACCTGCCTGCGCTCATCTCTGAAACCAGACCATGTCAACAGCCTGGTATTTTTTGCAAAAAATCTTTAAGAGATGACATGAGCAGCCCTACCAGCATTTGCCATGGTGGCCTAAACATTTTTATTTGGTCTTAAATTGTAGTTCAACATTTATTTCCTGTTACTTCTGGACCATGACGGTTGGCCAGCCTTCAACGTTTAACTGAGTGGAATATGTTGAATATGTTTTACCAAAATGTTGGCTATATGTTAAGGAGTTTTCAGTAGGTTGTGACAGTGCACTGCAACATATTTGATTTCATTTATTTTGGTGTAATTTATTTTTATTTATCATATTAATATAGTTTAGTATGGTTTTGGAAGTGCGCTCCAACACATTTATTGATCTTGTTTATTGGTAAAATATTATTTGTTTTAAAGTTCAATAAATGGTCAATGAATAATCGTCAAAATAATCGTGATATCAATTATTGACCAAATAATCGTGATTATGATTTTTGCCATAATCGCACAGCCCTACATCAATATGTGTCCCCGGTGCGTCAGGAGACTCACAAAGTGTCAGAAAATAAAACCCTCTCTCTTTTCCTCCGTACCCAAATCACTAAAAACGGGGGAACAACGGAGCTGATCCAGATTTGCGTCCGATATGACGTAATATCGGCATTGCGGACCCATGGTCCTATCAGAAATGTTGCTGTCAGAAACAATGAGACGTGTTCTGGAAGTAATATGGTCTGTGTTTATATAAGCATGCTAACACTCAGAGCTAACCTGTGCTGGAGAGTCTGTGTGAAGAAGCAGGAAATCAAAAGGAAGTCACCTGGTGGTAAACCTGAGAGAGAGAAAGAGTTTGAGCTCCATCCTGTTTCAGAGAGGATCCTTGATGTGGTTTGGAACATGATATGGAGTTTCATCAGGCAGTGTTTAGCTTCATCTCCGGAGAATTCTGAGCAGGCACAAGCTCCCCCTCCTCTTTCTTCTAACTAAGGACCCAGAGTCAGCGTTTCTCTAACAGCTGGAACAGAGGGGAATGAGGGATTTCTAAAATGCATGAACTGTTTGGTATTTTGAGCAAAACACTTCATAGACATGTTTTTATATATATTTGTATACATCTGAGACCCATAATATAAGCCTAAAAATAGCATAATAGGAGACCTTTAATATCCAATCAAATGTTCCCGTTGATTTGTAACTCTTCTAAAGGAGCTCTGCCTGGTGTCATTGAAACTGTGCCAAAGCTTTGTGTGCATGTAGTCTTTATGAAATGTGATCAGATGTTGTTGAAACCTTTAAAATGTGTTCTCTTCAGAACTGCTACAGGATGTGGATTTTGTAAATTGTGTAATCTTTTAAATGTGTTATCTTTAATATGTGTTTGTATGCATGCTTCTTAGTCAACATGAAGCTGTCTTTGGCTCTTTTCTGCTGGAACAAATGTAAATGTCCCCTCTGGGACGAATAAAGGTTTTCTGATTCTGTGATGTCTTTAAAATGAAATGCATGAGCAGCTGAGCAGAGAGTGGGTTCAGTTTATTGAGGGGGGTCTGTGTCCATGTAATAATCTTAGTTATGGAGTTATGGATAAAACAATACAATCAAATGAATAATGATAAAGAATCCATAAAAATGTAATATAAGTAAATAACAAAATGCATCCGGTAACTATGTACATGTTTCTTAAGTGTATGGATACATATATATATATATATATATTTATATATGCTTGTTTTGCACTCACAGGATAGCTTTTTAAATGTTGTTGTACCTGTACAATGACAATAAAGGAATTCAATTCAAGAGTCCAACAGCAGGATGAAATACATCAACCCAGTTTCAGTAAGTCAACAGGAGATTAATTCAAAGAGGGGTTCAGTGTGTGTGTGTGTGTGTGTGTGTGTGTGTGTGTGTGTGTCACCTATCAGATGATGGTGGGGATCAGAATCTGTAATGAAGGAATCCGTCTCTAACCAGCCGCTGTCACATCCTCTGAGGAGTGATGACGCTCCAGGAATCTGTAATTAAACCACAACCAAAATGTAACTTTAAAAAAAAAGAAAGTCATAGTACAGAACGTCACATTTATACAAAAAGTCACAGTATAATATTTCAAAAATGTCATGAAGAAGATCATATGTTGAAAAATATGCTAAAATGTCATATAAAGAATGTCGAATCAGGAAAAAGGTATAAGTATAGTCTGTTATCATGAAAAGAGTTACCTGGGGAAGTCCACCAATCACCATCATCTCATCGCTCCACTGAGTCTCAATGCCTGAAGTACACTGCATTGCATCATGGGATTGTTAGCAGAAAGTACATTTCATGGCGTTGAGTTTTTAAGTGGCAGCTGCTCATTTTTTGGCGCCCACTCGTCCGGATGTCCCACTCATGTTTCCCCGTAGAAAAAGGGAGGTGAGTCAGAGTCGGAGCACTCCTACGGATCAAAACTCTTCTGGTTGAATCATCCGAGCAAACATAAGAATATAGAAAATGTCAATTGTGTCAGAAAATAAAAGTTTATATGTTTTATACCAAAACATTTGGGAAGAGTTGAAGTATGATTCCCCAAGGTGCATTTTTTAAAAGTAACATCCAATCACTGAGCTGCTGCTAATTGCTAATTGAAGAGGTTTTGAGGAACCTGACAATACATGATAATCTGTACTTTAAAGAGTCAGGTGTTACATCCTGCTCTCTGGGTACACTCTGCCTCTATTTACACCACTTTTCCCCGC